TTCCATTTTCTTAGCATATAGTTTCTCATAGTAGCCTTTGATGATCCTTTGAGTTTCTGTGGTATCAGTTGTAGTGTCTCCTTTTTCGTCTCTGATTTTATTTATCTGGTTCTTCTCTCCTTTTCTCTTAGACTAGCTAAGGGTTTGTTCATTTTCTTTCTTTTCAGAAAACTATTTGTTTCATTGATTTTTTTTTTTTTTTCCTTTTTTTTTTTTTTTCATTTTTTTTTTTTTCTTTTTTAATCTTTTTTTCTTCAATTTGGGGTTTTTTTGCTTTTGTTTTTTCTTTTTTTTTAAATTATATATCACTAGCTTAAGTTTTTCTGCTTTTTTGATATAGGTACTTATTGCTATAAACTTTCCTCTTAATACTGCTTTTGCTATATCCCATAGATTTTTGGTATGTTGTGTTTCCATTTTCATTTTTTTCATGAAATTTTTAATTTTTCTTCTTAATTTCTTCATTGACCCACTCATCATTCAGAAGCATATCATCTAATTTCCGTGGTTTGTATACTTTACAAAATTTCTCTTCTTATTGATTTTTAGTTTTATTTTATTGTGGTCAGAGAAGATACTTGATATTATTCTAATGTCTTTGAAGTTTTTACAACTTGTTTTGTGGCTTAATATATGGTGTATCCTTGAGAGTAATCCATGTGCTGAGGAGAAGTATGTTCTGTAGCTGTTAGATAAAATGTTCTGTAAATATCTGTTAGGTACATTTGCTGGATAGTGCACATAACTCCAAATTTTCTTGGTTGTTTTTCTGTCTAGATGATCTGTCCAATGCTGAAATTGAGGTGTTAAAGTCTCCAGCTATTTTGCTGGAATCTATTTATCTCTTTAGCTCTCATAATACTTGTTTTATATATGTGGATGTTCCATTGGTTGGTACATATTTATTTATAATTGCTTTATCTTTTTGCTGAATTGACCCCTTTATCATTATATAATGACCTTGTTTGTCTCTTGTTATAATTTTTGTTTTGAAATCAATTTTGTCTGATATGCATCTAGGCATTCCTGTTCTTTTTTATTTTTTTATTGGCATGGAATATCTTTTTTCATCCCTTTATTTTCAGTCTGTCTTTATAAGTAAAGTGTATTTCTTGTAGGCAGAAGATCATTGTGTATTGTTTTTATGTCCATTCAGACATTCTATGCCTTTTGGTTGGAGAGTTTGGTTAGTTTACATTCAGTGTTTTTATTGATAAATAGAGACTTATTCTGGCCATTTTGTGTATTTTCTTCCTTCTTTTCTTTCCTGTCTTCCTTTTAGCAAAGGTGATTTTCCTTGGTAGTTTATTTCCTTGTTTCTATTTTTTGTATGTTTCTTGTATGTTTTTTTGATTTGAGGTTAACATGAGGTTTGAAAGTAATATAACTCATTATTTTAAACTGATGGCAACTTAACATTGATTGGATAAACAAAGAAATAAGCAAAGAGAAAACTAATACAAACTCTATGCCTTAACTTCATCCCCCCACTCACTTTTTAACTTTTTGTTTCTATTGATATCTTATTATATTGTCTATGTCTTGGAAGGTTGTTATTATTTTTGATAGGTTCATCTTTTAATGTTTATGCTCAAGATATGAATAGTTTATACAACACAGTTGCATGTTATAATATTCTGTGTTTTTCCATGTATTTACTATTACCAGTGTGTTTTAAACCTTCAGATGATTTCTTATGCTCATTAATAGCCTTTTCTTTCAGATTGAAGAACTCCCTTTAGCTGTTTTTTGGAGGCTAGGTCTGGTGTTGATGAAGTCCCTTAGCTTTTGTTAGTTTGGGAAAGTCATTTCTCCTTCATGTTTGTAGGATATTTATGCTGGATATACTAATGTGGGATAAAAGTTTTTTCTTCAGCACTTTAAATATGTTGTGTCACTCTCTCCCAGCCTGTAAGGTTTCCATCAGATGTATTGGAGCTCCTTTACCTGCTATTTGTTTCTTTTCTCTTGCTGCTTTTAGGATCCTTTTCTTCCTTTACTTTGGGAGTTTGATTATTAAATGTCTTGAGGCAGTCTATGGGTTAAATCTGCTTGATGTTCTGTAACCTTCTTGTTCTTGAATACTAGTATCTTTCTCTAGGTTTGGGAAGCTCTCTGCTTTTATCCCTCTGAATAAACTTTCTACCTCTGTCTCTTTTTCTACCTCCTCTTTAAGGCCAACTCTTAGATTTGCCCTTTTGGGGCTATTTTCTAGGTATTGTAGGTGTGCTTTTTTTTAATTTATTTTTATTTTTGTCTCCTCTGACTGTATTTTCAAGTAGCTTGTCTTCAAGCTCAGTAGTTCTTTCTTCTGCTTGATCAGTTCTGCTGTTAAGAGACTCTGATGCATTTTTCAGTATGTCAGTTTCATTTTTCAGTTCTAGGTTTTCTGCTGGATTCTTTTATGTTGTTGCAGTCTCTTTTTAAAATTTAGCTGGTAGGATTCTAAATTTCTTCTCTGTGTTATCTTGGATTTTGTTGACCTTCCTCACAACAGCTATTTTGAATTCTGTCTGAAAGGTTATGTATGTCTAACTTTCTAGGATTGGCCAGTGGTACCTTGTTTAGTTCATTTGTTGAGGCCATGTTTTTCTGGAATGTTTTGATTCTTCTGTATGTTCATCAGTGTCTGGGCATTGAAATGTTCATCAGTGTCTGGGCATTATTATTGTGGTCCTTACTGTCTGGACTTGTTTGTATTCATCCTTCTTGGTAAGGCTTTCCAAATAATCATAGGACCTTGGGTATTGTGATTTATGTTTTTGGTCATGGCAGCTGCATGTGCATTAAGGAACACCCCAAGCCTAGTAATGCTGTGTCTCTTATAGACTTGTAGAGGTATTACTCTGGTGGTCTTTGGTAAGATGCAGGAGAATTTTTTGGATTACCCCACAGAGATTCCTGTCCTTTTCCCTTTCTTTCCCCTAAACAGAGTGTCTCACTCTGTGCTAAACTGCCTGGAACTGTGGGAAGGGTGGCAAGCACCCCTCTGGCTACCATTACTTGAACAGACCTGTACTCAGTACAGCATGGGGACTGTGCTTGAACAGACTTGTACTCAGAACAGCACGGGGTCTTGTACATGGCCTGCAATGATCACTGTCAGGCTGCTGCGTATGTTGACTCAAAGTCCAGTGGCTGTACAATCCACAGGTGGTGAGTCTAGCCAGGCTTGTGTCCTTCTCTTCAGGGCAGCGAGTTCTCCCCAGCCCTAGGCAGGTCCAGAGATGCTATCCATGAGCCAGGGCCTGGAGCTAGGAGCCTTAGTAATCAAACTAGTTCTCTGTTCTACTGTGGCTGAGCTGGCACCTAAGCTGCAAGTCAAAATCCTTTTTGTTCTTCTTTCCCCTTTTCTCAAGCTGAGGAGTCTCTCACTGCTGCGGACCCATGGTGACTATTGCCTGGCTATCATTGATGTTCACTCAAGGTTTGAGGGTTATTTCAATAGCTTGTGATGAATGTTACCAGGTCTGGGTCTGCTCTCTTCAGGTACGCTGGGTCCCCTATGGCCCAAGGCAGGTCCGGAAGTGCCATCCAGGATCCAACGCCTGGAATTGGGAACCCCAGGTGTATGCTTGGTGTTCTCCTCCAGTGTGTCTGAGTTGGTAGCAAAGCTGCAAGACACAGTCCTCTTTACACTTGTCTTCTCCTTTTTTCAGGGAAAAGGAGTCTCTTCCAGTAGCCACCATAGCTCAGAATGTGCTGGGTTACACTGCAAGCCAGCTTGGCTCTGAGTCTCACCCAAGACGAGTAGCAAGTACTCCCTGGATACCACTGCTGGTTATTCAGGGCCCAAGGGCTCTTTAGTTAACAGGTGATTAATCTTGCCAGGACTAGGTTTTTCCCTTCAAGGCAGCAGTTTCTCTTCTTGCTCAGGGTGTGTCTAGAAATGTCATCCTCTAGCTACAGCCTGGAATGGGGGCCTTAGAATTCTGCCTGGTGGCGTATTCTGTCGTGGCCAAGCTGGTGTCCAAGTTGCAAGACAAAGTCCTCTTTACTTTCCCATCTGACCTCCTCAAGCAGAAAGGAGTCTCCCCCAGAGCTGCACCTTTTCTGCCTGGGATTAGGGGAGGAGTGACCCAAGCACTCCCTTGGGCGTCCTGGCTTGTGTCTTACCAGGTTGCATGCATTTCAAGTACACTGGCTCTGAGCCCAGCATAGCATTGAGGCTTGCCTAGGAATTACAGTTCTTGTGGCCTGGACTGCTTCAAGTTTATTTAGGACTCCATGTTGACAGGGCTTGCTAGAACTCTAATTCCAGCCTCTGGGGTGGACAATTGCCCTCTGACTGTGGCTGGTCCAAATGCCCCCTCTGTGGCCTTGGCTGAGTTCTATTCCATTTTGCTTTTTGCTGCTACAGGGTAGCTCTGAGTTCCCAAAGTCCCACAATCACTGTGCTCCTCTCCACCCAAGCACACAGATTCTCTCTGTGCCACATGGCTGCTGCTGGGGGTTAGGGGAAAGGTGGTGTAGGTGATTCAAGACTATTTTCCTATTATCTTCAGTGCCTTTCCTTAATTTGATGGTAAAACTGGGTACGGTTATATTGCTCACCTGATTTTTGGATTTTTTGATGGTGCATTTTTGTGTGGATAGTTGTTCAGCTTGCTGTTCCTGCCAGAGTGATGATCACTAGAGGCTCCTACTCAGCCATCCTGCTCTGCCTCCTCTCTATGCTTAACTTTTTAATATATTGCCAAATTATTTTCCAAAGTGGTTGTGCCATATCACAATCCTGCTAGCTGTGTATGTGTATTCCAGTTATTCCACATCCTTAGCAAAACTATATGCGTGGTCAGTCTTTTAAATTTTAGACATTCTAATAGGTATATGGTGTTGCGTCATTGTGGCTTTAATTTACATTTCTCTGATAACTAATCATGTTTCACATGTTTCCATGTTCTTATTTTTCACCTGTACATATTCCTTGGTAAAGTATGTGTTTAAATCTTTTGCTTGTTTTGTATGGGTTATTTTTTTCTTATGACTTAAGTTTTAAGAGTTCTTTATATATTCTGGATTCACGTACTTTAACACAGAGGTTCCTAAGTGGTTAATGGCCTGTTAGGAATTGAGCCACACAGCAGGAGATGAGTTGTGGGGTAGCAAGTGAAGCTTCATCTATATTTACAGCCGCGCCCCATCACTTGCATTACTGCCTGAGCTCCGCCTTCTGTCAGATAAGTAGCAGCATTAGATTCTCATAGGAGCATGAACCCTATTGTGAATTGCACATGCGAGGGAGCTAGGTTCCATGCTCCTTATGAGAATCTAATGCCTGAGGATCTATCGCTGTCTCCCATCACCCAGAGATGGAACTGTCTTTGTTTCAGGAAAACAAGCTCAGAGCTCCCATTGATTCTACATTATGGTGAGTTGTATAATTATTTCATTACATGTGACAAAGTAATAATAATAGAAATATAGTGCACAGTAATTGCAATACACTTGAATCATCCTGAAACCACATCTTCTGCCACTCTACACCACCCCTGCCCAGCCCCATCCATGGAAAAATTGTCTTTCATGAAACCTGGTTTCTGGTGCCAAAAAGGTTGGGAACTGCTACTTTAACAGTTCCCAACTACTGCTTTAACAGTATGGTATAAAATATGGTTAGTATTTGATTTTTCTTTTTGTGCATATTTAAAATTTAGTATTTCATGCATCATTTGTTGAAAAGACTATATTTTCTTTATTGAATTGCCTTTTTATCTTCTTAAAATATCAGTTGTTCACAAATGTGTTGGTTTATTTCTAGACATTTTGTTGTTTTCCACTGAAGTCCTTGGAATTGTGTAGTCTTAGCTCTCCAACTTAATTCTCTTTTCAAGGTTGTTTTGACTACCTTAAGTTCTTTGCATTACTATACAAATTTTATAACCATCTTGCCAGTTTCTGTAAAATATCCTGCTTTTATTTTGATTAGGATTGAATTGAGTCTGTAGTTCAGTTTGGGGAGAATTGACATGTTAATAATATTGAATCTTTTAGCCCAATAACAAGGTATATGTCTGTGTTTATTTAGATCTTTAAATTTTTGTTCAGCAATATTTTGTAGAATATACTTTAGAAGGTCTCTGACATTTAAGAGATTTCCTGAAGTATTTCATATTTCTAAATTATAAATTTATTTAATTTCAATTTCAGATTACTTATTGCTGATACACATAAATACAGTAGAATTTTGTGTGTTCACCTTGTATCCTGCAATCTCATTAAATTCACTTATAGTTTTTATTGGTAAATTTCATTGAAATTTTTACATATATGATCATTTTGCCTGTAATAAAGAGTTTTATTTCTTTCCAGTCTTGATGACTTTTGTTTTTTCTTTGCCTGATTGCTCAGGCCAAGACTTCCAACATAACATTGAATAGCAGCAGTAAGCATGGTCATCTATGTTTTACTTATGATCTTAGATAGTATTCAGTCTTTTTCCATTATTTTGATGTTATCGAGATAATTTTAGTAGATTCTTTTTGATAGGTTGAGGAAGTTTCCTTTTAGTCCTAGTATGCTGAGAATTTTTTTTACACATTTTATAAAATTAAATCCAAATTTTATTAAGGATTTCGAGTTACGTATTTTAAATTTCTAGAATGGAATGGAATGATTTTGGAAATGAAAAAAATGGCATAAACACTGACATCCCTTGAAACTTCAATTTGATAAAGAAAATTCTTCTGCAAACCACATCCCCATTATATGACAAGACTAGGTATTATCTATACCTTCACTTTGGCAATAGCTATTTCCTGAAAGAATGAAGAAGATGAGTTTGCTACTTCCATCCATTAAAAATGAGATTCTGTCTTTAAAGTTCAGAAAAAGCTGCATTTAAATGAACTATGGTTACCCCCATCTCCCCAAAAAACAGTGTCTAATCAAAGCAAAGAAAATCACTTTGAAAATGAAGAGAAAAAAACTGTTAGAATTGGTTATTTCCAGTAGTAAGTTAAAATCTCAGGAGAGACATGGATAGCACTACAAACGGTGTGTTCACATTCCAAGACCTTAACACTAACTTCTCAAAAAAAGAAGTTTTCATTACCTCTAAAAAGGAATTCAATGTGATTTTATTAAGAGCAGGAACTCCAGACCTTCCTTTAATGACAATCCAGTAGACCACCCTCGCTGTCCTAAAAACAGAGTTCAACCCGAAAATTAACAAATTAGCCTTGGGTATTGTAAATGTGTCTCTATAATCTGAAATTTAATGGCATCTTTTGTCAAAAATAGTCTTATTTCCACTTTAGTTTCATGACTACAATACTATAGTGCTATCTCTGTAGTATTTACTACAATAGTCATCAAAAATATTTGAAAAAAGTGCTTGGACCTCTGAAACTGTGCATCAATCCACATCTATAGCAGTAAGAGCCACACAAAGATCTGTAAGGGTGCTGCCTGTCCAGATCCAGAACAGAGGTACTTAGTCTTTGTTTTCCAGTTTAGTTATCAAAGCATGGAATGAACAAAATGCTGAATGTCACACTAGCATCACAAATAGGCCCCAAATTTTGAGCTTTTAACGAGATTGAGAAACATTTTATGAGATTCAACTCAATATGCCTTAACACATCCATGAGGCAGTTAAGTAAACAGCACTACCCATTTTAATACATGGTAAACAGAAGCATGAGTAAGTGACATACTCATACTTTAAGCAGTAAGAATTAGAAGAAACCACAGACGTTTGGGGTTTTCTCTGTAGCTCTAACCCAAAGAAAATGACTTTAATTTTTTTTAAAGCATCACATCACTTAAGATCTCTTCTCTCTCCTCCTCCCCCTCCTCTTCCTTCTCCTCTTTCCTCTTCCTCTCCTCCCTCCCTCCCTTCCTTCCCTCTCTTTTTTCTCCCTTTCTCTTTTTTCCTTCCTTCCTTCCTTCCTTCCTTCCTTCCTTCCTTCCTTCCTTC